CATGAAGATGGAAGTTTGTCATATAGATCTACAAAATGTGAGAATAAGTGACACAGCTCCTTCAGGGAGATGTCAAATGAAGCCGAAGATTGAGGAACTTTCTTCATATACAAGCCTCAAACCAATGGAGAAGAGAGCAGTGGAAGATCCAAGTGACACTGCAGCTCTTTCAGGGAGATGTCAAATAAAGCCAAACATTGAAGAACTTTCTTCAAATACAAGCCTTAAACCAATGGAGGAGAGAGCAGTGGAAGATCCAACCAAAGCTATGAACGTTCAAAGAAGGACGCCCATGTACGTTATCCCATGTGTTCGCAGATTTGGATTAGATGCTGCGGATGAGAGTCAATCAGGACCGCACCCAGAAATCATAACTCCTTTGGATGGAACAGGGACACTTAAGTCTGATAGTTCTATAACTGCTTTTGACCCTGGATCGGTGCCAATAGGAACAAACGTATTTCCTCCTAACAAAATGAAAGGACAAACCCTTATAACTGAAAAAAAACTAACCGGCAGTAAAGCACATGAAAAAGACAAGGAGGCCGGAGAGGGAAGAGAGGATGTAACAACAAAGGACATCAAATATAGTGTGCCACAAAGTTTGAGACTTTCTGAAGACAGTGCCATTAAGGATGCATTTGAAGACACCAGGATTTCTGCAGTAACATTAGCAAACATTCAACCTGAGAGACACAGTCCTAAACAGAGACCAAAGTACAAAACAATCAACTATGGGGATCCTTCAGTCAAACAAATATATAAACCCAAAACCATACGATTTACTGACACCTTTAACTTCTAGTTTGGTAGTATTTAACAGTGAGTGATGCACACACGAATGTTGTACAAGGAATTCAAATTAGGATTTTAGTTCATCTGAATGTACCCTCATGCGTTAGCAACAATACAAAGTTAATACAAAGTAACAGCTACAGAAACGCAGTGCAAACAAGTAATCTAATGTATAATTTAATAGGTTGACATATTCATAAAAGCGCTTTACAATATAGTCCACCTCAATATTTATTTATAGCAATGATAACGTCCAAATAAACTACTAGTTACACTGGCTGGCCAAGAACTTATCAGGTTGTTACAAATAGTAACGTTCCTCATATTATCAGGACTGTTAACTTCTTAGGCTGCATGGAGCCTTACATGTTATGCTGTATATATATATTTACATGTATAAACATATATGATAGGAGGACTCAACGTAGAAGTAAAGAGCTAAACAGTTTTACATTTGGAAGGTGAATTATGATTTAATTCAGTATAAATCTATGTTAATCCATCCATCCATTTTCATCCATCCCCTCTCCATAGCATCCTTTTCCAGCTCCTCCTATGCGCTCACAAGCCAGATTATTTCAGTGTCAGATGCATGCTGCTTACAGTTTTTTTCAGTTGCTAACACATTAAAATGACACATAAAGCATAGTTATTAAAACTCACACTCAAAGAGCAAAACCTCAGCTTAAATCTCCAAAACTCTAAACACATTTTCAGCTCCCCAATTTGCAATTCAACTTGGTACGTTTTGCAAGACACGTGGTTCTCTAAGTAAGACACATTTTCAAAACACTGCCATTATAATTGCTACACACATGAATCAATTAACAAATATACATGCCAAATGACCATAAAAACAGAACTTAATTTTGTAAAAATGTTAACTCTTCACAACAATGGATATATGGATAGCAGCAAGTGGGAATATGTAGAGGGAGGATAAGTAGTTGAAGAGTTATTTGCAACGGTTGAAGCTGTATGACCGTCAGGCTATAGGTGCATGCTTCTTCTGAATGTTGATGAGGGGCTGTGGCCAGAGCCAACTAGGGGACGAGATGCAGCCTAAGCACTTTTCTTTCCTCTGTTTTTTGTTAAAATATTTATTTTTCCTCAAAGTTTTCCTTTCGATTTACTGTATTTGACAGAGGCATCATTTTTGTTTACAACTGTAACTATGTGTTGTGCATGACTGTTGCACCAATTTGTTTTGGAGAAAAATAAAAGTATAACAACAGTATATTTTTGTTCCTGCACTTATCTTTGTAGACTTGAAAAAAATGTATATGCAGAATTCTCTACATACAGAATGACCTTAAAAGATGAGTGTGCTTTTGAGCACAATGGTGTGTAGTTGGTTGGACAAAGTGTCTTGAACTGTAAATAAAGTGTTTGCCAATTGGGTGCAAATGTTTGGTTTTGGTAAGTGCACTTAGTAATTCTGCAGGATATATGAGGTGTTTTGCACTTGTTTTGAGAAAATGAGCCATGTTTTCAAAAACGTGTGTAAGCAATTAAAAAAACCTTTATTCAATGATTTTAAATATGATAAATTGCATTTCAAACCATGCTTGAAGCTCAAATGCACGAGTGCAAAATACATTATACAAACCGGCTGCAGTGTATACAGACTCACTGACCCAGACACATTGCCAAATACATGGTCATGAAGGTTACAAGGCTTTTTATAAATGATTTTCAATCAAATATAAAGAGGATACTGTGGTGATGCCCACAGATGAAAGGTTGCAAACAGCTTTGACAAACATGTCACATGTGGCTGGAAACTCATCCTATTCAGAGATCCTACCCCACCCATCAGCAGGATTACATTACTGCTAAAACATGAGTCTGCATTTGCACTTACTTACTCTGGTATTTTCACAAGAGGATAAGAGACCGGGCCTACATGATCCATCATCCGTCCATCACAAGGCTTATCCTGATACGTAGCAGTGGCGATGATCAGGAGTATGGTGTTGTTATTTACTGTCTGTGTAGGGCAGAAACGCTTAAATCAAATTTGAAGTAATTTAATTTACTGTAAAAAAAATCTGTAATGTAGGCAGTAAATTGCTGTATTACCCACAGTAATTTACTTTTAATTTGTAATACAGTGTGATACTGTAGATTATGCTGCATTGTGGGAATATTATCCTTAGGCGGGAAATGTATACAGCACTTTAAAACCATACTGTAATATTACAGCACTACTGTAATGTTACTGTACAATGTACAGTAACATTACAGTATTGCAGCACATAGTTCTGCTGCATTGTGGGAATATTATCCTTAGGCGGGAAATGTATAGCAATTAAAAAATTATACTGTAATATTACAGCAATACTGTAAATAGTGTTGTAATGTTATGCGTCCCCAGCTGAATAATGGTCATACTCTCGAACTGATGGTATCCTTTTATTGTACACCCTTGCATGTATACATTAAGTATCAATGTACCAACGTAAGAGCTATGAAAAGAAAGAAAACACAATAATTAGCCACCATCTCACAGATAAAGCATCTCCATTCCTTGCATTTATAAACGTTACATTTCTAATACAAACTAAATAATGCAATTATAGCTCACTACTGCCCCCTAACTAACAGAGCAGAATAGCAGAACACATGTAGGCTAATATAGCAGTTTTGCTAATTCAAAAGCATGGACTCAAAACTCTGCAAAACTACGAAATAACACCACATAATATCAATACACATATTAATTAAAGTAATAACAAACCTTGTGCCCCTATCAGCCAGGTGCTAAAAAACCAACGTAACTAATTATTTTATGTTAATTTCTCCGTCATTCATCCGTCATTCAGGCTGCTTTTACACGGGAACGTTTGCGTTTATGCACAGTATGTGCTTTCAAAAAAATCTTCCGTTCACATGCATTCGTTTCATTTAACGTGTCTGTTGTGGTGTTTATGGAAATGAATACAAAAAGAACATATTAGTGCCACATGAAACATACATCCTATTTAAAAATGTTCCTTACTTAAACTAATTTGAGTACAAATTAACACACTAATAACATTTATTTCACCACGTGGTTTCCCCCTTTCCCCCCTCTAAATAGGAAACTACAGGAAACTGTTAAAATACAGCAATACGTAAACAGAACAACCCTTAGTAGGCTGTCATTTTACTGCAGTCCTGCCTGGAAGTGGATGACAGCTTGGAGACACAATAAACTCTGCTCCAGATTCTCTCATTAGCACATAATCAAATTGGAATCAATCTGGTGATTTCATTAAGTAACGTTTGCGTCATTTTCAATTGCTGTCACCTTTTCCATTATGAGTAAGATGTTCCCCTCTGTGATGTGCTGATGCCAGACCAGACAGAGACACATTTGACAGATGGGTGGAATATGTTTGAATTCATTTATTTTCATAAACCCAGGGCCAGAGCGGAGTACGACTCCTGACTTTTCCTTGTGTTTTATTTTTTATATATATCTGTTGTAATTTATTGTCTTTTATTGTGATTGTAGTAATGTGTTTTTATTACATGTACAGCACTTTGGCTCGACCAAAAATCGCTTTTAAATGTGCTTTATAAATAAAACTTGATTTGATTTGATTTGATTTTGTTTAGCTTGTCATATTTGCAAAATCTCTGAATCACCTAAAGACTGTGTATATAAAAGGAATCACCCAGGCAGCAGATATGTTTGAGTCAGGTATATTTGACTGACTGTAGCAACAGCTCAGGTGAGCAGGTGGCTGCATGCAGGTGCTGCTACGTGGCTGCGCTGCGAAGGGCGCGGCTACTTAGCATGTTTGCTGCCTTTATGTGTCGTCGGACACACAACACGTACCTCGTCGAAGTAACCACCAGTTATGTAACTGCTAATCTACATGTTGAGTTAAGCATAGGAGCAAAAACATTAAGATCAGATGCATAACAACAGTTTTGAATATAACTATATTTCAGACACATTGGCCTAGATCAATATAAGTAAAAATAATACAATAAATACCATTAAAACATAGATGCGATCATAGAAGTTGACAAGTAGGCTATACAAGTTAAGGCTACATTAACAGAATCTTCATATAACATGTTGGTGATAGGCAAACATATTGGCAAAATGAGGAACGCTTCAAGAATTTGGGTAACTCGGTCTATCCATACACTCTTCTCAGATGCACTTCTTTTTCCAACCAAAGTGCCGTGAATGCACCACAGAATCAGGACAGCATCTTGCCTTCCCTTGAGGACAGCACTGAAGTGGGATATTCCGGGAATCACTCGAAAGCAGCATTAGGTCTGATTGACGTGTGGCGTCCTGGGGCCATTACGTCACGAGTCCGAAATCTTCCATGGAAGTAGTAAGTTAGTTCGGACAACGAGAGTAGAAGTGACTTGTATCATGTGGTTGCATTAATGTAGTGGTTATCGGAGCTTCAGGCCGGTTAGTTGCACTCCGAGCAGCAGCAGGTGCATGCGGATGGCGATAAAACTCAACTCTACTCTCTACACACGGCTAAGACATCGGCGGATCATTAAAACAACATTTGACGAATTGAATAATACGAGTACTTTGCTCAAGGAATCGCTAAAGAATGTTTTTCCCGTCTTTCCCGTTTCGGGAATAGCATGGAAAATTGCAGGAAAAAAGGCAGCGATCTCGTCCCCGTCTTTCCGCACGCAAACATGGAGAAAAGTTAAAAGCGAACTTTAACTTAAACCAACCGTGACTCCGACGTTAATGTGAAGTTTATCATTGTTGTTTTGACATATCTTGGGGGAAACCAACAACGGTGGATTCATGGTGAGACTCTAGCACAGATTGTCAGGATATCACCGGAGAAGAAGAGGCAATGGAGAAGAAGAGCAAGCCAGCCCAGAGGACCCGCTCCCCGGACGGTAGCGCCAGAGACAGGGTGGACAGGTAACCAGGGCTCTCTCAGCCTAATAAAACCTTTAAAAACATGTTTGATCGATATCTGGAGGCCAGTAACTGAACTGAAAAGTCAACTCAGAAACAGCCAATTGTTTTATTTCTCATTTTGTTCAAATTGGAAGCAGTAAGGTTAGCTAACTGACGTAAACTACTTTAAACCGTTGACGTTACTTGAGTTGTTAACTAGCGGCTACTCTTTAATGGTTACAGGTTGTGGTATTTTAACAGCTTTCAACACATGTTTGTAGTTTTAAACCCATAAAGTTCAGTATGCAATGTGTATGACTACTGAAACATTGTTGTACTAAATACACTTTACAGAAAGATATGTATAGTTCCCTTAAAAGTGAACTCAGTTGTAATGATCTGATTTAAACAGACATATTGGAACATTGTAAACAACTTTACATTTAAAATAAAAAAAAACTACCTTCAGGAAGATGATGTTCACTAAACTGTCTTAGAGTGGTGTTGATTCAATGGTATGGTCATCATAGAGGTTGTAGTTTGTAGCTCTATTGCAGTTAATAGTGGTGTTCCCAATTTATATCAATGAGGGTAGTCTAAGTATTAGAAACTACAGCCTCCAAAATGAACATTACGTTCAATCAACACCTTTCTAAATCGGAACATAACCTTCAAAAAGGTATACAGTTGTACCTAATAAATTGGCAACTGAATGAACATGGGACTGGAGTGGATTTGCCCTTGATAAAGTGCAGTTGACTAAATCTGTCTGCAAGTAAACTTAGGCTAATTATCTATTTTCTGTGTAGATGATTGAAATCCACGCTCTTCATGGCAGTACATGTTGAATGACTTATTTTGTTAAAGGGAGCTGTTGCACAGTTCACACAAACGGTGATAACCTAAACTAACACCTGGAATCAGGTGCCACATTCACACACTCCAGGTTGATAACGTGTGCCCTTGCTTCTGCTTTGACAACAAAGTCATGTAAAACATAGCATTTGCATGATGATGCCTTCCTTTTCACCCAGTATTTGGAGAACAACACTAGTTAGAGCCTGTGCTGTGTGTAGTCTATACAGTAGTAAAGGGATTAAGTCTGTTAAATATTTTCAAAACAGATGTAGCAGCCTGCCACACTGCTGGTCTAGTAACTGCATGTATTCTACAGGGATGACTTTGCTCTTGTAAAAGGGTTAAGCTGCAGGAAGATTATGGTGTTACCTAAGGCATTAGGTTGAGCCACCTACATACACAACTTTTTCATTTAGAACCAGATGTAGATGTAGCTAATGTGAATACTAATTAATGACAATAACTGTTTGTTTCAAGTGCTTTTTTACATTACTTTTTACAAAATGTTTATAATACCAAGTTCAATATTTGAACTGCATTATAAATTAAATGTTATGTTCAGCCAAAGTTGTTTATTTGTCTTCAGTCTTTCTTTAAATTCAATCAATTACATCATGGTTTACAAGGAAAAGCACATAAACAGCTGACACTGCTCTCATGTGAATGCTTGGTGATTCAGGTGATGATTGTGATAAACTAAATCAAAGAATCATTCATCCTTTTGAAGTGTTTCATTAAACAGTTTCTAACTCTTTTTGGCACAGCGTGGATCCGTATGGCTTTCAGCGCTCTAAGGACTTTGATTACGAGTCATATGAGGAGCTCATGTCTGAGTATCTAGTGGTGCTGACCCGACGTACCATCAAGTGGTCCAAACTACTAAAGGGGAAAAGAAGAGTGCAGAAGAATGTAAAACGTGAGTGCTAAAATTGAACACGGCAGGATCTTCACATACTGAGCACACAACATAAAACTGAACGAAACCTAACCTCTCCTTCAGTGAAGCGCTACGTACGCAAGGGGATTCCCAATGAGCACCGGGCTCTGATCTGGATGGCCGCCAGCGGGGGTCAGGACCAGCTAGAGAAGAACCCAGGATACTACCAGTCCCTGCTCGGAGCCCAGCACGACCCCAAACTGGTGGAGACCATCTGCACAGGTCAGACTGCAAACTGTTTCTCATTCACTCCCACGGCATTCAGTAGAGATGCATCAATCGATCGGCAGCCTTTCAGAACTGTTCGGCCATGCCCTGTGACTGATCAGTCTCTTGTATTTCATTTTTGGCCTGTCAAATTGAAACGCATGGCAAAGAATGTCACTTATAGTTCTTATAAAGAAAGAAAATCAGAATCAGCCAAGACAAATATTAATCAGTGCATCTGTACCACCCAAACATCCTTAAAGAAACCTGAAACTAATGTGTTTCTTTCCCAATTTGAGTCTGAAATATATTTCCTGTAAAGTTTTGCTTCGCATTGCCATTTTCATCATGTGGTCCAAATGAATAAAACAACATTTTACAACCCCAGTCAGGGAAATCTTTCTAACCCTCTGAGGGTGATTGAGTCAGTGTGCTGATGTGGCTGAATGCTGGCTGGTTATTGCTGACTGTAGCCCACAGTGGCAGACACACTACAGAGCCACAGCCAACAGTCGGCTACACTGATGATTGGTGTTCAGAGTCATGACACTTTGTATTTTCTGGCATCCCCTTTGTGGCTTTATGAGTAAGTGAGACTGTTCTACAACCAGACCAGCTCCCATGTTGATGTTTCCTCCTGTCAGATATTGACTTGGCATACAGACAGAAAACTGCAATGTGTTAATGAGTATGTGAGATAAAGGAGTCCAGGAAAGCCAGCTTGAGTAATAAGTGTGAAGTTGAGTTATATGCTTAAACACTGCTCAGTGGGTTATAATAAAATGACCAAGGACTGTGTAAAGTTATCCTGAGCACAATCTTTTTATCCTCTCTCTGAGATCACAAGGTAAACAACACTTTAACCGTAAGGACCTGGTTTCAAAATAATAGACCATGAATGTGTGCTCGTATGTATTTGAAGAGTCTCCAAGAAATTAATCTTTGCACTAGCCATGGGCCCCCCCATGTAATATTTATTGTGTATTCAGTCTGTAAACACTGGAAATACAGTTAATATATTTGAGCCAACTGTGTGTGTGTGTGTGTGTGTGTCCAACAAAACAACGCAACAAACAAGAGGAAATGAAAATGTATCGTTGTATGACCTGCAGTGTTTTACTTATTGTCAAAAAACAGCATACCGTTCTGTTTCTAATTCACATAATTTCATCTTTGTTGTTTTTTAAAATTGTATTCTTGTAAAGTGACTTTGAGTGCTTAGAAAGAGCTTTAGAAACCTAACGTATTATTATTATTATTATTATTATTATTATTATTATTATTATAACTGGGTATATAGCATAAAGCAAACTGTTGTGCTCTTTATTTTAAATCAACATGCTCTTATGCACCGATCAACACACAAACACACGGCAGCTCTGAATACTTGTTTCTTTGGTGTGTTTTTTTCCTTTTAGACTTGAACAGAACATTTCCAGACAACGTGGCGTTCCGCAAGACAGCCAACCCATGTATGCAGAAATCTCTGTATAACGTGCTGTTGGCCTATGGCAACCACAACCCAAATGTGGGCTACTGTCAGGTAATATCACTGCAAAGATCCAGCCTTAAGTGTATTTTGATGAATATAATTTTTTTTACAGCATCTTACACTTTTGATATCAAATTATGCAGTTTTTCATATAGTTTCTTTATTGTTTATTGTGCTGTATGACTAACATTTTCAATGAAGGCTTAGGTCTGTTTTTGAGCAGGCTGTTTGTGTCAGTATTGCCTATGTTAATAATTACCATGTGAATGGCAAATTTCATTCACCAAAGTGCGTCCAGCTTGCTTTGCAATTCAAATGACAGCAGGGCTTTGTTGATGTCTACATTTCTTATGAAGTATCACTCGAAAACATCCGTCTGTAACCAAACTCAGGAAGCCTGATCTGGATTGAATGTTTTTGTTTTGGTGCCGCTTTGTTTCATTGCCAGCGTACACTTCCTGCTCTCTCTCCTGGATGCTTTATTAAAGAGCTCTAGGGCAGGATTTCAAGATTCATGTGACCATGACCTGAGTTTGTGTCTTTTTCTTTTTTCCTTCAGGGGATGAACTTCGTTGCAGGGTATCTACTTATCATTACAAAAGATGAAGAGAAGTCCTTCTGGCTGATGGATGCACTGCTTGGTAGAATCTTACCAGGTGTGTATGCGTCTTGATGTATGTGTGTGTGTGTAGATGTTGTAGTTGTCCCTTTTCTCTGAGCTAAGAATAATCCTGTTGGTCACATGGTCTTTATCTGGCCAAGGCTTAAGACCTACAGTACACTTCCTTTGTATCATGCACTCACTCAAAGTAGTAAATGTCACTATGAATTCAAACTGTTTTCCATTTATCCTGTTGTTTACATTGATGTATTCAAATTTGTTTGGAAGAGCAATGTGTAACTCACAATGATGCTTCTGTGTGTGGTTTCAGACTACTACAGTCCCGCCATGATGGGGCTGAAAACGGACCAGGAAGTGTTGGGGGAACTGGTGAAAGTTAAAATCCCCGGAGTGTGGCAGACCATGATGGATCATAACGTCATGTGGAGCCTCGTGGTGTCCCGATGGTTCATCTGTCTTTACATAGACGTCCTGCCAGTAGAGGTGAGTGGTTCTGTGTGTGTTTCATAGTGCGGACACGAGGGAAGATTTGACATTTCCACCGCAATGTATACAGCACATTGTATCCTGATTAATTCAACATTTTAGGAAAGCTTGATAACCGACAGTGTGGAAAGACAGACGTACTTTCTGGTCATTTGCATCGGAATCAAGTTTATTGGTGCGTTTACACTTACAAGGAATTTTCTTTGGTGTCTGGTGGTGCGAACATAAACATTCTAAGAAAATATGTTGAAATAATAGGTAAAAAAATAAATATATAAGGATAGTAAAAAAATAAGTATTTTTAGGAAACAATTTAACATTCAAAAAGGATAACAAAGACAAGTATTTACACCAAATTCTAATTGAACTATACAAAGAACCTTAAAAGCTAAAAAACTCAAACACTAAAAATAGGACAATATATGGCAAACTACAGTGTATTATATTTTAAAGTTTAGGGCTGCGCAGACATGAGTGCAAAAATGTGCAAAATGCAGTCAGAGAGTTGAGCATGAACATGGCTCACAGTATTAAGAAAGAAAAAAAAAAAGTTCACATGATGTGCATTAATGTAATCCATAATGTTTGTGGGGTGGATCAAAAGTCACTGTTCAGATGACATGATGTAGGACTTTATGGGATAGATACGGTATATGAGAAAGCAAAGGTGTTATAAACTTAACATTTTGGTTGATAAATTGTTTCTCATTTCTCAAACAATAAAAGCTCTTCATGTGATTTATACGAGAGCTGCTTTTAGTGGATTCAGATATAAATATAAATATATAACTCCTGTTGTTCCAATAGCCAGCTCACCATGTAAACAGTCCTTGCTGTTGCTCACTCCCTCTGTTGGTCTGGGGATGGGCGTGCTCTGTTATGTCTGTTTTCCAAATAACATACACAGAGCTCCAGGAGGAGGGCGTAACACTTGCAGATGTTCACATTATTCACTCCAGATTCCCCCTCCCCACACAGACACTGCACTGACACTAAATACTGCAGCCACAAGGATTCCTCACTAATGTCCCACCCCTAGATTTATTTAAGGGTTCCTCCGGCAGTGTCCAAGTTATACTCTGCTCCATTTGAAAGGAGTAGAGGCCATGGTTGTAAATGTATAGTTTAAAGGTAGCTGGTAAGGAGGTTCAATGTAAGGAAAATAAGAAGAATTGGAGTAAAGATAATACAAAGAATACATTCCTCACTTCCCTTAATCTTTACACTGAAAAGTGCTTTCTTATTTGGTGCATTAGAAAGACAGCGAATTTAAATCACAATTTTCCTTTGGTTTGCAAAATAAGATACATTAATGGCCCAGGTACTTGTTTGAGGACTCAGTTAATGCTAAGTAAATTAATATAAAATGCTGTATGCTGAGGTAGCCAGTTTCATTCTTGTTGTCTCTCTGCAGACAGTTCTGCGGATCTGGGACTGCCTGTTCTACGAGGGTTCTAAAATCCTGTTCCGCGTGGCCCTGACTCTGATCCAGCACCAGCAGGCTCTGCTGCAGCAGGCCCAGTCCCTGCCGGACGTCTGCCAGAACTTCAAGCAGATCACCCAGGGACCATTTGTGGAAGAATGTCACACTTTCATGCAGGTAAAAAAGGAAGGAGGAATCACATCACTGCTTTTTATTTAAAGGTCACCTATTATGCAAAATCCACTTTTTCATGTCTTTTATACATCAACATGTGTCCCCTCTGTGTAAAGAGATTCTGAAAGTTTCAGGAAAAAAAGATTTGCTCTCTTACTGTCCTGATCCATTTATATAAAAACCTGTCTGAAAATAAACTGATCAGACTTTGGCCACTTTGTGATGTCATAATGTTTTTTTGGCTTGTGTAACCATTAGCCAATCACCAACCAAGGTAACCCCCCCCCCCCACACCTTATCACCTGAATCTCCTCCGAGAGCACCATTGCATTCTTTTTAACCAAATATCTCGCAGAAGGGCGTGGGGAGTGGCTCCTTATTTTCATCTAAAGTAACACAGAGAATCAGCACTTTTGAAACAGAGGGGTTTATGGGATGCTACAAGTCATGATCTGTTTGGTATCATGACACTTCAGACGCATGTTTTGTATATATCTGAGAACTATAATATATTGATGAAAAACAGTATAATAGGGGACCTTTAAAATGTTATCCACTGGAGGAAAGACCAATCCATATCAAACGGATGTCCATTGTTACTTATCAGCTGCCTTTAATCCGATAATCCTTGTGTCTTTCCTAGAAAATCTTCACTGAACCAGGAAGTCTCTCCATTGCAACCTTGAGTAAGCTGCGGGCGACTTGTCGATCTCGCATCAGTGCAGAAGAACACTGAACCAACCTGTTGCGCCATTTCAATACACATTCCACCGGGATGAGCCCCGAGCGCTCGTTTGCACCTTCTTCTTTTTTACTGACACATGAATGTCACAGTGACTCTCACATGCTGTTGAGGTTTTGTCATATTTAAGACAATTCTACAGCCCAAGTGTAATTATGTTGTGAAATGAGAATATTCTTAGCAATGTATGAGCTGAGCATTCCATTGGGAATTAACTTGTAGTTGCTTGCTTTTGTTAAATGATGCACTTTACTCCAGAAAGTCAGAGACACTAGAGAAAAAAAAGATTAGCAGCCGGGTCAGATAAATGTGTCGGCCTACTGTATTTCAAATTGATGGTAAATGAAGACTGACAATCGAATGCTGTAACTGAATGAGAGTTATGCAGAAACAGATTTTCAAACATTTCAAAATCTGAATAATGCATTATTGTCTGTGTTCAATATTTGAGCAAATGTCATAGTAAGCATAATTGAAGTGTACTATAATGAAAAGATTGAAGTGTAACTAAGAAAAAGCTGCTCTTTTCACACAAAGAGGTTTCCTGTTTGTTCTGTGCAGGGTTATTATCCTAAACTAACACGAAAATAAGCAGTTCAAGTTCAATCAATTTGTGATATTGAACCACAACAGATGAACACACTTGACATTCCAGGAGATGGTGATATTGCTTCACAATGAATCCCTGATGTGGATGCTGTCTAGTTTTGTAGAGTTTAATGACATAACCATGATTTATATTGTAATAGATCAAATGTCATTTAACCAAGCAATTCCTCTCAGGTGTACTGTCCTATTTCAAAAATATTTAAATATTATGAACATTCCTACAGTTTTCTAACCCATATATATGTTGGTATGTTAATCATGTCACATGCTTCTGGGACATTCAACCTGGCTCTAACCAAACCGAACCTTTGTTGGAAAACTGACACTCTTACTAAAACTGAATTAAACCAAAAGAAAAAAAAGAAATTCAAACTATAATGTCATTGGTTCTATGTTTAGGTTTTGTTGACCGTAACATTTTATAGACGTGATATCAAATGTTGTTTCACTGTTCCTAAATAACCCTGCATTGATCCCAGCTCTGAGTATTAGGTGTTAAATACCACACACAGCTCAGAGCAAACTCCTTTATGACTTCATACTCAAAAAGATATATCAGTGCCGGAGTTTTAAGATTTTAATTAACTTTCAGTAGGATGCATAATAGAAAACGAGATCAAAACCATTTTCTATAAAAATAAAAGATCAAATCACAATTTATATTAACACATCTTTCAAGAGAGTCGGGGAAAGCAAGAATGGAAAAATAATCCATACACCTTATTACTTGGGATTTTAAATACATTTTAGTAATGCAAAGTGTCACACTGTGTCGAACCACAACACATTGTTCACACAAAGCAGCTCTGCACATAACAATAACCCGGCTGTGTTTAATAATCAGAATGAAACTGCCTCAGTGCGCTTTGCGGACAGTCTTCACTGTGGAGTATTATGGCTGGAAAACAATAAGAGCTTTCCCTTTTCTTGGCACAGGATTATCTTTAGCTCATAAGCTTTACAAATAATAAGCATGTAGGAGTAACTCCACCTAACTTTAAAAATGTTTTTACTTGCACACAAATTCCTCTTTATTTGTATGGGGTATTTCATGATGTTTTATAAATAATGACAGATAAAAACAGCAGTTCAAGCAATTCAACCAAATCCTAGAACTTAATGGAACAAAAGAAAACAGCTTACAATGGACTTGCCACAGCGAATTCAAACTGCCTCCCTCAGTGATTCTCTGAAGACTCTCATCAAGTTGCACACTGTCTAAAACTAGCAGGCCTTTGGCTTCTCATCATCTCACAGAGAAAGTGAAAGAAAAATATCCAGAGGTCACATAGGATATGCAAAAACATGCACTCTCGCCCCAGAGTAACTGCTTTCATTCAGTCATGCTCGTGTCCACAGTGTATTACTAGCTCTTTCTCACACGCTGGTTCACCACCCCCCCCCCCCCAGTCTGTCAGGCTGAAGTGAAATGAAGGGGTCCACTCAGATGGTCTGGTATCCAGCATGGCTCCTTTTCCTTCCTATTAGATAAGCGATGAGGACGATCAGCACCAGGCCGGCCAGAGCTGCTCCGACGATGATGGGGATGAGCATCAGGTCCTGGTCCATCTGACACTCCTCCGCTGGAGACAAACAGGACAAGTTTGTGTCACATTGCAGAATTTTGGATCTATATATTATTATGGTTGACCACTTCTAGTGCCTTTTTTAAATATTGAAATGAAATGCAACTTGAATTGAGGGAGGGTGCTTGAGTCCTGCTCAATATTCAAATGGTTCTGGTTTTGTGATTTTTAGTGGTTGTTTCACCAGTTGGAAAAACGACCAGTGTGGATGAGCATAATGCAACAAAAAAAACGATTAGAAGAATAGCTTTACATTTTGTGGCATGTGGTAATTCACTGTCCTGCCAAGAGTTAGATGACAATACTACTTCAATGTCAGTACCTTAAATTGTCCCTAAAGTTGTGATTATAAGTGGTTACATGCTTTATTTATTTGTATTTTCACAGACATAACAAGTGGTTTTAATCTTCTCACCCAACTCTTATATTCTCACTGTAAGAAAGGAGTTTTCTGTTAAATATGCGTACTTCTTCCAACATGACTATGTTAACTGCAGTGGTCTGCGGTACATCTGTGAAATGGCACTTTGCAGAGGGCAACCTACTCCTAACAAACAACAAGGCCATCACCTCAGCAGGGATGGTTACACAAAGTATTTGTACCTGTATCAAAACTGGTCAGTGGTGACTTGAAATGGCTGGACCTGCAGTCTGAATGTGTTGAGAGAAAAGCTTGGCACCACAGCCAGAGTCTGCTCTGCGTTGCACATGTAGGAGCGTCCCAGGGTGCTGCGCAGGTAGTCCAGACTGCTGTTACTGGCAGAGATGAGAGCTGTGGAGAGGGAAAGATCAGTCATAGTTGAATTAAGCTAATCAGAGCCAAGACAAAAAGTCATGTTGCCTCTGACAAATGACGTACCAGTGGCATCAGCCATGTCAGCCAGCAGGGTTATTCCACTCAGGTGGTACTTTTTGCTTGTGGAGTTCTGAGGAAGCAATTTGAATTAAAGAAAATGTGTATCCACACACACTTAAATGAAAACACATTGACTATAGAGCAACGTGCACAACAGGCGCAGGAAGATCTTACCAGAGTAAAGGTGAAGTTGAGCGTGGTGATTTGCCCCTGTGTCAAAACCAAGGAAGCACTGCTGGCTTCACATGAGCCTGATGAAGTTGTCAGATTGGGAGTCAGGTTTAATAATTCCTGGACAGTCTGGAAAAGTAGACAAAGATACATTTAGTTTACTTGAAGGTTATTATACATAATAGACTGAAGGGGGGGAGGTTTCTAAACCTTTGCAAATAAAACCAAATGATGTGCACTAAAACTAAACATCGATTGCACCCCTAACAGCGCTGCCAAGCCCTTAATTCACAAAAATCAGCACTTCATACTCGATGCAGTTAAAGTGCTAGATTTGTTGCTGTCTCTACAAAAGTACGCACTCGGCATACATGGAAGTTAAATGTTGTTCTTATCAAAATATATAATAGGGGAGATACACCATTAAGGATGTAATAACCAGTAATCCGTTCTCAATCCTGGGCTAACATTATTTCCCCCTTTTCTATCACTTCATTGCATTCAGGAGCTTTAGATGGAAGTGGCTCTCTGGCTAAAACTGACAGGTGCGAATGATGCGCACTCCATTGTGCTCTCAGCGGCCATTCTTCATCAACTCGCCCCAGACAACATGTTTATTGTGTTGCTTGTGAAGCTAACTGTTACCTTATTCTGAGAACGAGAGAAATAGGTGAAGTTGAGCTGCAGTCCCATTTGGGCCATGAGACACAGAGTGCCGTTGCCGTTGTTCACAGAGTAGGTGCCTCGCTCAGGTGTTCCTGGGGGGGTGGGGATGGGGGTGGGGGCTGGAGCTGCGGTTGTTGTTGTTCCGGCAGTGGTAGGTGGAGCTGTAGTGCTGGTCGGATCTGCCATGCATATGCTTTCTGTGACGAAACAAATTATAAAGAAATGTGTAATCCACCATCAAGAAGCAGGTCAGAATAACCCACAATCCCTCCCAGTGGTACCTGTTGGACTCAGCTCGTTTCCTGGCATGTACGCCTCCAGCCTCATGTCAGAGAAAGTGACAGTCGCTCCACCTAATGCAAAAGTGGAGGGGCTCACACAGTGGTAGGTGGTGTTGAGCGTCGCCGAGATCCCAACTGAAGCTGACACCACAGTGATTACACCTGGGACAAAATCAAACATAAAAAATCAATATGGTGCCTGAGGGGTATAACTGCATATGTTGTTTTAATGTAAATTCACTAGGAGCTTTACAATGTGTATAAACTTGCTAGTTGCAGAAAATATAAGCACACTCTTTTACTCATTTTCTTCACTTACTTCATATATTAAAATATGGTGTGAATTTTATTGTCAATACAAGGATCGCGTACATTTTACCACACCACACAAACTGCACTGCGCTGGACATTTTGTTGACATGTTTTTCTCACCTGAGCTGTTGGCATCAGGAAAGGTAGAAGTGTCGCTGAGGTTGTACTGCAGCGTCAGGTTAGCCACACTGTACAGGCTCCCATTGGTCGAAAAGCTCAGCCCGAGCGCGTGGCCGGGCCCGAACACGGCCACCAGCCACGGGGAGCTTTCCTCTGTGCCACAGGAGCTGCTGGCTGTATCCACCGTGGTAGAGTCGGGAAGAGGGAACTGCAAGGTTCTCTGAGGAAAGAGAACCCAAGTTTACAATCAGATACATATCAAGGTAATCAATATTAAAGCTTTGGGAAATGATTATACTGTGTTCACTGTACGTACTGTGCTGCTGGAGGTGTTGTATGTGACGGAGAAGGATGCAGAGAGCTCAGCCTTAATGCAGGTGGAGTTCCCTTCCTTCACTTCAAGGGTAACAGCCTGAATGCAACCTTTGGAGGAGAACAGGGAGGCCAACAGTAACGATTAGGCATACAGAAGACACAGTTTAATTCATACCTGGGCATGTTTTCGTAAAAATGCATAAGGACACGAGTCTTCAATGTCTTAAACCACATGTGTCAAACTCAAGGCCCGGGGGCCAAATCAGGCCCTTGGTGGATTTAATTTCAGCCCGCAGGATAATTTTGAATTACTATTAGATCTGGCCCGCCGGTATATTGCACGCACACCTTCACTCAATCCTGAGGGTCTCCTCAGCTCAGAGCCTGACCCCAAACATTGATGAACTTGCACCCAAGATGAGATGCCAAGTATCTGGCTTGAACTAGCATCACGGAGTAGCAAACTGAGTTTCAATGTTTCCTTCTGTACTTTTTTTCTTGCGACAACAGGGCATGTTTGGTTTGTTCTTTGAGGGAAATTGCTTTTTTGAAGCTGTTGTTGGCCTGTGGAGAAATGTAATCATAAGAAATGACTCCGTAAAAGCTGCAGATAGAGCCATAAGAAATGAATGCAACTGATTATTTAATGTTTAATGTTGTTTAGGCAATAATTTAAGCTTTGTTAGTTCCAGGTTTAATATGTGCAATAAGTTCATTTCAATAAGTTTTGCAATAAACATTGAACCAGTCCGGCCCTCGACTAGTACCCATTTTTTAATTTTGGCCCACTGTGTATTTGAGTTTGACACCCCTGTCTTAAACAGTAGACAAAAACAGACAAAATCCTCTTAATTGGGGGTAGCATTTCTCAATGCTACCCCCAATTAAGAGCAACAGAACAAACACAAACACTTTGACAAATGTCAAAAGGTCAATAATAGGCTTGATTACCGAACGCTTGTGCATCTCTTGGGCTATAACATTGGAAATATGGGTCGCTTTGCCCTCGACCCAGTGGTACGGCACATCTGGATGTAACCATGGAATGTGTATTCTACATACTAAAGAAAATACTTATTTTCAGCTGTCTTTCTACTTTATTCTGGAGAAATATACAACTTAGTGATACGACTCGAGTGTCAGATTTTCGTTAAACTACAAACATGCCACAATGATAAACAATATGTATAGATTTTTTATTTTGCAAACCACAAATTATTAATCCACAATGTGACCTGAATTGTATTTATTATCTGGATTTATATTTGACTTGCCTGGTTGGATTAAGGCTAAAGAATAAGTACAAATGATGGCAATGACGATTATTACAACATAACCAGTGTTACATGGTAGTTCCCACAGACACCATCAGAGGTCAGCAGACAAGTAACATGAGAGAGAGAGAGAGAGAGCGAGAGAGAGAGAGAGAGAGAGAGAGAGAGAGAGATAAGAGATAGAGAGAGTATAAGATATAGCTAGATCTAGATATAGATAAGATCTATATATATCAGATCAGATCTATCTATAGCAGATATATAGAATCGAGAGAGAGAGATAGAGACGTATATATATCTCTAGATAGAGAGAGAGATGATATAATAGAAGAGATATACACACACACACACACCAGCACACACACACACACACACACACACTACACACACTCACACACTACACACAACACACACACACACACACACACACACCCACACACTACACACACACACACTCATACACACTACACACACTACACACACACACACACACACCACACACCACCACACACACAAAACACACACACACACACCACATAAAAACACACACACACACACCACATAAAAACACACACCACACAAACATATCTACTTTCAACATTTTTACTTAACCTGATTCATTTTATTGCCGTCAGGCTTTGGAATCGGCCAACTCACTGTTACGTGTTAATGGGTGTGTGATGGTGGCTGGGATTCTCAAACATGTTGTTACAACACAATACACTAGTTTCCCAATTTTCAGACTTCCCAGAATGTCTAGCGAGAAGTGAAGGCAGTTTGTGGCTGATGTATGACTGCTTGTGGTTCACTTTTGAACAGCGCATGTTCTTTTATTTTAGTAATTGTGCTGAACAATATTTTTGTAATTGTATGCCACTGATGTAATGATAATATAATAGTATTATATTGCATGAATAGCCTTTCAAAGTGAATTTATTTTTATTGAATAACAATTTATTTTTTTATAAATTGAGAAGAAAAAAAAGGGTAAAACCAGACAACCAGAACAATAAATAAAATGGATCCTCTGGCTTAATCTACAAAAATTGCACTCAGTAAACATTAACAATTGTATCTATAATTTAAAAAATTATCGTGACAGGCCTACAGGAGATAGATCTATTGGAATATGTCTTGTAGGCCATAAGTTCAATAAATCTATCTCACTACTCACTTATTACTGAGCGGACTGACTGAGATCTATTTTTTACACATTTTATTTATCTCATATCCTTTCCCTCACTTCCTTTTAACATGAGCTTTTCCAAATGTATTGATCACTATGGTAAAAGCCTGTGCTTCAGTCCTGTGTGGTTTTCTGTAAATCACACACTCCCTCTGCTGCTACTTTGCTGAAACTTGACCCCGATGTCACCCCTCTGTTCACCCTGTAAACACACAGCAATGGGTTTACACAACACTGCAATCTGATCTTGAGGTGAGAGCGGCTGCGTGTTCAAAGTATCAAGCTGCAGAGAGCAGCAATAGACAGTCGGCGTGGAGAGGATAACAAAACAGAAAGTGACTTCACTCTGCTGCTTGTATCGAAGAAATGCTGCGTCAGGAGGACTGAACTCTAAGGTCACCAGGGGCTGTGGAAAAATCTAAACGGAATGCCCAACTACAGTTATCCAATGGTCAGTTTTTGAGTATTACAATACTCAATACTGCAACTACTCAACAACTTCACTGGCCTGTTTTCATGTGTCAGCATTGTGTTTGTGTGTGTGTGTGTGTGTGTGTGTGTGTGTGTGTGTGTGTGTGTGTGTGTGTGTGTGTGTGTGTGTGTGTGTGTCAGGCCAATTAAAAGGTCATAAACCAACACTGTCAGTAGGCCTCTGCTGGGCTGTGTGTGCAACACAAAGCCATATAGCGGTCATGTGAAGCTCTCAAATGGCACAACAAAGAGGCCAGCCTGCTGGTCCACAACATTAACAAAACCTGGCTGATATATCAGAATCGAGTGAAATAAGTCCGGGGACTGTTTTGCCATTGCTACATGCGGAAAGATGACCTTTGGATTATTTTACAACAGGGAGCTACATGAAAATGTAAAGGGCAGTGGATCCATCAATCAGTTTTTGCCTGTGTCTTTTTTAACTGGTTACTTGCCGACACTATGAGGTCCCTTATTATATTATTCAGTTATTATATAATGAAGTCAAGCCATGAATGAATATAGAACATTTCTACATCCAATGCTGGTAGTTCAAGACTTTTTTCCTTGCCTCATTACTAGCCAACCTTATATATTATACACATATTACTAGCTATACCTGTTGCTACTACAACATACTGAGGATCATTTTTCTATTTAATTACATTGTCAATCATCATTCTTCTGAATTTCGTCAAGATAGTTTATTTTGTCAATTGTCAACTAATTTATCAAATATCGAAAGAATTGTCCAAAGTGACATCTTCAAATAGTTTTGGTATTTTTAAGTCACAAAAGAGTCAAATTATTCAAAAATGTTTTATATTATACACACATTTTTCTGCACAATGATAACTGTTAATGTTTATACTTTAAGTACATTTTTCGGATAATACTTTTGCACTATTACTTAAGTAAGCATTTGAATGCAGGACAGGAATGCAGGAAGTATTTTGACAATAATGTATTGGTACTTTTACTCAAATGCATCTGGATATTTCTTCCACCACTGTGTCTGACCATCAGTTCACACTTACATGTGTTATAATGAAAGACAAGGGGGAGGGGTCCCATGTTGAGAAGTTGTAACTAGAATTTGATCAATCGATACAAAAGTTTCCATCCATTCGATTAATCGACAGATGGAACGTTTAGCATTGAGCTTCATGTTGTCACTAACGGACACCACAACAGACCAAGGTTATGTTATGTTTTGTGACCTATACAACTCACCTAAAACCGCAAGCCAGGCGATGATAAGCGCGGCGGAAGAGTAATAGACTTTCATATTTTCCGGTCACAGTTCTCCTCTCTTTCTTTCCTGGCTAATAGATGGCGTCGAGCCCACAAAGGTGGTGTTGTGTCGGCGCTGCGGGCGCAGGTGGGTCTACGCAACGTACTGCACTTGACTTGACGGAGCGTTAGCTTAAAGCGAGGCGTCACTGTTGTTGTTGTTTGCGTGTATCTGCTGTCCAAAGATGCAGGAACCAGTTGTTTAGTAATCCTAAAGCACGTCCTGCTGGTATTCTCTCGGTAAACGCGTTTAGCTGTCGGTCATACAGCCACACAGACTGAATAAACCATGTCTCGTCATGTGAACTGGTAGCAGTAAGCGCCACCCACCCAGTCACGTGAGCCCCCCCCCTCTCCTCTTTCTTTCACGAGCTCTATCAAAGGCAGTCCTAATAAACTGTCTTCGGCTCCATTTACATGAATGTCACAAATGTAGTCCACAGAGTAACAGTGTAATGCATTGTTTACTATGTAACTGCGTTTGAAAATGTTTGCTGATAAACATGACTTATTAAGAAGTTACATAACTGTACATAATGACGAGTGGGTGTAAAGAGAAACATAATGAGACAAATAGTGCACTTCCAGGAATAATATTACACTTCTCCTTCCGGGAACTCACACAAGCTACATGTGCCAAGGCTACAAATAATTAAAAATGTAATAATGAGGGAGGAGGGAAACACCAAAACAATTTCAACATTTTACTTTGGTTTGTTTGCCTTCTCTTTCTGACACTTTTCAAACAAACGCATACCAAAGCATAACATTGTTAATGCAATAGCTGCCTGGTTAAAGGTATGGAAATGGGAAAGTACACTTTAGCATGCCATGTAAAATATTAGCTATATTACACATCCTGTATCATCTGAAGAACAACGTCAAGATTGCAATATAGGAAGTCAGCATGTGAGTCCAGACAGACCCTGTGCAGGCTGCATGTGTTGTGGTGGGAAGTCAGCTGACACCATCATCAATTCACGAGGGTGTGCAAACCCTAGAAGGAACGCAGAGGCTGCTTTAATGCTGCTGCACAAGACTTATCAGGGCCCTGCTAAAATCTCCCTGCATAGTTCAACTTGTGTTTTAACTAAATACGTGACATTTTCTTGTTTTATTAAGACTAGAATGTCAGACAACAATTTGTCATTGATGTAATATCTATTTCTAAGTGATATATACAAAGATGTACATTCCCTGCCGTGATAGTGAAAGTATTAAGAAATATGCTTTCATTTCCATCTTCCCTTAACTTAGATATTAAAATCCAGAATGGCTAGTTTATCGGAAAAGTAAAACCCAATAATAACTCAAAACTGATTGGAAAGAGAACGGACAACTTACTTTTTGTATGATTTAGGGAGTGATACGAGGCGGGAAAAGGACATTATAGTGTTTAAATGACTTCTGATCTAAGTAATGTCAATGTTTTGATACTTAAACTGCAAACCTCAATGATGCCTACAAGACAAGATTCTTGATACATTAAAGCCCATCTGCTCTGATCCCATTGAAAATTGTTTTGTTTTAATCAAGATTCACCATTTGATGAAATCATATTGGACTGAATGAGTTGCACACTGTTCGCACACTGAGCTATGTAGCATGATCAAGCTGAAAAGAGGCAAGATGGAAGACATGTATTCAAATAAAGAAAATATCAACACTACTACTAGCTATTTATCTACAAATTATGAATTGAATCATTAAATATCCATTTATTCAGGTTCACTTTTTCTCACTCTTACACGTAATACAATCTGATCTACAAAAACGTCAGCACATGACATTTGGACATTTTGGTCAGAACATAGAAGATACCCAAAGAAATACCCAAGTGGCCTGCCTGCATGTTGTTTAGCTTCTGAGCAATAAACCCTCCCCTCATACCAAAACACGTCTGACCCATTTCCTCTTCTTAAGTCTTTTTTTGTCCTTAACAGCTGTTTCTCTGCCATACCAACCAACCAACCAACCAGGTTTACACTCAGCAGTTTACGCAGCCATTCCCAAGGGGAACGCCTTGAACAAAAAAAACAATATAAACTTAAAACTCAAGACAAACCAACTATAGTAGAAAATAAGTGATTTTAGAACAGCGTGATGGAGAGGGGGAAACAAATCAAAATCCTGGGAGGGAAAAAATGAAACAAAAACAGAGGAAAGTGCTAATCATTTTCAGTTGAGTTTTGCATTAGCAGATTTGTAAGTCACATAAACCAACCATCAACAACCCGGGCCACTCCCCCAGTCCCGAGTCACTAAAGGTAACGCAGAGTGGGAACGGTACAGCCAAGTGTCTCTCGTCTCTCTGGAGCTCTGTGTGATCGGGACGATGCGTCCAGGATCCTGGATGGAGGGGAAGATGGGCACCAGAGGAGAGTCGGGTGGCTGGAGGGCCGTTATGCTGTGTTTAGGGGGGCCAGCTGTACGCTTGCTCTGAGGAAAGCATGGCAGTAACAGCTGTATCCCTTCAGGCAACATAGTGGTACTGGTTAGGAGTCTCCTTGTCACGCTCCATGTAGTCTCTGTCTATGAGCGACTCGATCCGCTTCTTCAGATCGCCCGGCTGCAGACAGGAAAGAAAGTCAATTATGAGCTTCGTTCGTTCGTTCGTTCGTTCGTTCGTTCGTTCGTTCGTTCGTTCGTTCGTTCGTTCGTTCGTTCGTTCGTTCGTTCGTGTGTATGTGTGTGAATAAAAAATATCTAGAAAGGTAACAGTTAAATTACTTAATGATTGTACCATGGATTTGACTTACAATGAGTTATAATGTGCTTAAATAAATGTCAAATTTAAGTTAAATACAAATATTCATAATATAAAATATTTTAGAATGAGTAACAAGGCACAAGTATCATAGTACTTTCAAAAGGGCTGGTCCCATTTGTATAGCAATAGTGTATTAGAGTGAAAGAAACATTAAATCTATGCAAAACACAAAACGTTGTCAATATGTATTTTTAATTCACCTTTAAATATAATTAAACCATGCTATAAGCAGGTAATAATGCATTCTAAGTGTTTTCATACTACATTCTAGAAATGGACATTAAATCAGTTATCAATTCAAAGAATAAGAAGAAGCTTAGGATTGTTCACCTTTACGGGGAACTTGAGCTGGTTGTAGAGCTCTGACACCAGGAGGTTGTGACTGAGGGTCTTCCTCATCTTCATGATACGCACCACAGCTGCATCGATCTGATACTGCCTGTCTTGAAAGACGCGCTCTGTGGTGCTTACCTGCTCCTCTACCTGTAAGAACAATGTGTAAATATGGATTAAACCATCCTTCTGCATAGAAAAACATACATTGCAAGAACAGCGTCAAGCTTTCTTTGCTACTAACATCCATATGTCAAAACATCAAAAGAAAGAACGATTTTTTTACCGTTTCCTTCATCTGGATCTGGTTGATCTTGATGCGGAACAGTTTATGTTTGAAATCATTGTTGAAATTGAAGCGGTCTCCGTCCTCCACGTCCTTCCCTCGAGGGTTCTTGTTGAGGACGCGAGCCTTTCCGCAAGCCAGGGACTGCAGCGTCCGCCTGAGCTCTCCCTCCTCTGTGCAGGACAAGAGACAGTCTGTGACACCCAGGCCCCTCTCACACAATAGAATAGTTGTACTACATGTTTGAAGACGTGTTTAACCTATGCCTGTGGCAGTGCGGATCTCATCCACGCTGAATTCCTCTCCCTCATTGAACATCAGCAGCACCAGCGTCTGGAACAGCGACACCTGCAGCTCTTTCTTCCCCTGTGGCAAAAAGGAATGATTGTAAGTGTGAATCAGAGGGTTTCCCAAGCCTTTTCGTCTTTTCTCTATCAGTGTGCATTATGCCCTTACCTCCTTAAACTCTGCCTTTAGTACAGCGTGGCCTAGTGTGGGCTGCCACTGCAGCTTCCTCCCACTGTGCTTCCCCAGGTAGAACAACTTGAACACCTCCTGGAGTTTCACCATCTACACAAACACAAAGAGACAGTCTGTTAGGGATCGGCTGATGACTCTGCTAAGTTAAGAGATCATCAGTATGAAGACACAATAAACTCTGTGAAACCAGATTTCATGTTGTTTACAACTATTATTCTGAATATGACAATATTCAGAATTTTGTATGGGTTTTATATACAGCATATAATGTAATGTTATGAATTAGGCATTCAAATTAAGCATTTTTTGGTTAAGACAAGATGGATATGCTTAAAACTTAGAAAATAAGTGGTGAGTATTTCCATTAGCCATGTAAGCAGCTTAGCAGGAATATTTTTAGGAGAATGTGGGCTAAACTGATTATTTTGTGCATGAAAATGAATAGTGTTTCCCAAATAACTACTTTAAATCATCACACTAAAATAGAACAAATGAAAGGCTAAATATTGTTTAAACAAATAGTCTGATGCTCAAACTGTAGTTCACAAACAAAATAGAAAACTGCTTCCCTAGATGCTTCAGTGTTTTTTGTCAGACTTAGCACAGAGTGCACATTAAGGAACCCAAACAAAGACGTGCGTACCTCTGGGGGCAAGTGGACCTCCATGGGTATGTATGAAGGCCAGTAGCCCATAGTGAGGATGTTCACAGTGAGTTCAATGTTGCTCGGCTCGCTCTGGTTCTGCATATGCTGAGCAGAAGAATCATAGATTTTATAATAGTGCATGTAAAAACGCATTTAATGACACTCAGAATGCATACAGATACTGAAATACGGCATCAATATTTGTATTCTGTTAATATTGGTATTTATGTGGAGTACCTGTTTGAACTGGATCATGATGTCTTTGGACAGTTCCATGTCCTTGAACATCCCCTCCAGCTTGCTGGTGAAGGCTGCTCCGCACTCTGGAGGAAGTCAAAACCACAAAACATTGAATCATTCTCACACCTACACATGAGCGCTCGTCATGTTGACAATGATCATAGTGATAATGAAACTTCATGATCAGATAAAAGTCTAAAAATGTTGTTGCACCACAGCAGTGCCATTGAACAAACACAACATATGTAAGACAAAAATAACAAATACATATATTTAAAATGTTTATCATCATAGCAGACAATACATTCAAGACCCTTCAGCCGACATCTGATCTTGGATTAAACTGTCTATCTAATTTTAGTATAACCATGCATCTCCAATAATGTGATGGTATCCGTTTTTATTTGCCGTTCAGGACATGATTGGACTTCAATACAGTGTTGTACACCAGCATTAATATCACGAGTCATAACGTTCCTCAAGGGATTGACCTACAATCTTTGAGCAGATTTTCATTTCATTTTTGACTTCAATGAGATAACAGACTATCCCAGAAAAGTATGAAACC